TTTATATTGTGTCCTCGGGCTATGTCATTCTTTTAAAAGTTGTGCCCTGCCCCCTCCCCTCCTGTTTCAGCTTAACAAATTCTGATGTGGGTCAGGAATAATGAGGACTCTGCCCCATTCATTCAGGGATTCAAGCTCCTTCCATCAAACAGCTCATTGTCCTCTGCTGGATCCTTTCTGCATTTTGCCAAGACAAAGGAAAAGAGAAAGCATGGGGGATAAATAGCATGGGAGATTTTTCTGGGGCTTGAAATGGCATACATCAGTTCCTCACACATCTCACTGACCAGACTATAGGCACATGCCCCCACATAGCTGAAGGGATGCAGGGAAACGTAACTTAGCTATATGCTAAGGAAAAGAGGATGTTTGTTATCTATTGCTATGTAACAAATTATCCCCAAACTTAGTGGCTTAAAACAATCCTTTGTTATCTCTTAATTTCTGTGGGGTAGGGATTTGGGAGATCAGTCAGGTGGTTCTGCCTTGGAGTCTCTCATGAGGTTGCGGTCATCTGAAGGCTTGACTGGAGCTGGAGGATCTACTTCCAGGGTGGTTTATTCATAGCTGACATGTTAACTCTGGCTGCTGGCAGGAGGCCTCAGTTCCTCCCAACATAGGCTTTCCCACTGGGCTGCCTGCGTGTCCTTGGCCATAGCAGCTGGCTTCCCCCAAAGTGAGCAATCCAAGAGAACAAGGTATATAAGCCACAAGCCCTTTGTGACCCACTACACAAGGGTGCGGATGCTAGGAGAGGATGTCTGTGGGCTATCTTGTAAATTGGCTACCACCTGAGGTTTGGTGAATATCTGACACAAGTCTGTTTCAGGCAGTTTGATACTGTGATTTATGGTAAGAAATATATATTTGGTCTTCATCTCCCTTTCTGGCACAGAGCTCCTAAAACCCTTGTAATTATCCTAAGTGATAAGAGGGATAAATGTATCTTTTGTTATGTTATGTTAATGAGGTGACTTTTGGACCACCCTTAGGTAACCTAAGGGAATCAACCCCTTGATTGGAACTTTCAGACCCACCCAGCAACCTCAGGGAGGGGGAAAAGGGCTGGAAGTTGAATTCATTTCCAGTGGCCAATGATTTAATCAATCGTGCCTATGCAGTGAAGCCTCCATAAAACCCAAAAGAACATTTTTCAGAGATTCCAGGTTGGTGAATACGTGATTTGGGGAGAGTGGTGCACTGAAAGAAAGCATGGAAGCTCCTGGCCCTTCCCCATACTTTGTGCTATGTATCTCTTATCTGGCTGCTTCTGAATTATATCCTTTTCTAATAAATCACTGATCTAGTAAGCAAAATGTCTGAGCCCTGTGAGCCACTCTAGCAAATTAATTGAAGTCAAGGAAGAGTCATGAGAATGTGTGATTTACAGCCAGCTGGTCAGAAGTACAGGTAACAACCCGAGCTTGTGAATGGCATCTGAAGTTGGAGGGATAGGGGGATGGCAGTTGTGTAGGACTGAACCCTTAACCTGTGGAATCTGATGTTATCTCTGGGTAGTGTCAGAATTGAATCGAACTGTAGGACGCCCAGCTGGTATCTGGAGAATTAGCGGATGCTGTGTGGGATACTCACCCCCTCCACCCCCCCCCCCCCCCCCCCCACCCCCCCCACCCCCCCCCCTCCCCGCACACACTGAAAATTGAGTCTCAGAACGATTTTAGGCAGAAAGGTCGGACACAATCAGCAAGACAACTTAGCGGTTATCTACCTGATTTATTAGCACTAGTTTGACGAAATCAATGGGAACGTTAATATGCCTAAGGAAACTAGACTCAACCCTCTTATACATAGTACAAATGCTTCTCTCATTATTACATTTTTTACAGTGGCACAAATCCCTCCAAAACTCATCCCCCGCCCCAGAACTTCCCTCATAAAAAAGTCATAAAAATACGTAAAGCCATAAAGTATTAGGGGAATAATTTCTTTTATAAATCCTCCTAGGGTGAGAAAGGTTCTTAAAAATATGAACTAAATTAAAAATTGGTACATTAACTATATAAAAATATGAACTAAATTAAAAATGGATACATTAACTATATAAATATTTTAAACACCATAAACAAAGTAAAAAAATGACAGTTGGAAAAAACTCACTTGTAAGACAAATACAGCCAATTTCCCTAATCCACCCCCCCCTAAATTTTTTAAGTCACTAATAAAATTAAAAATTTAGAAGAAAAACAATTTGCAATAAAATGTGTCAAAATCTACTAAAATGGCCTTAGGGATTAAAAATGGAAGGAACCCATAAACACAAAGAGAATGAGAGAAGAGACAAAGCAGGCAAGAAGTATTAAATAAATTTTAGAAGCTGGAAAGTGCCTACATGAAGGAAAGCAAAGAAGCAAACCTGTTTGCCCTGCACAAACTTAGAAAGGCTAGGGTGCATGGCAAGACCAAAAAAAAAAAAGTTTTGTTGTCAGCCAACATAAGAACTCAAACCCTGAGATTTCCCCCCAACTCTACACAGCCAGAGTCATGCGTAACTTAAAAATTTTTGCTAGTGTGTACATACACATTCACAACAATGAGTTTTCAATTTGGAGAGTTAATTCTAAATAATATATTTTCAAGCCTTTATAATAAATAGCATTAGGTAACAAGGAAACATCATAGTATGGCTTCACATGGTCATCAAAGATTCTGTGACAAATCTACTTTCATCCCTTCCACACTACCCCAGTAGTCCAGGAGAAACACGTGAGCTGGACAAAAAGCATTTTTGCTAGACCCACAACTGTCATTTTCTGGATCAATCACATCACATACTCCTTTGTTCTTAGAAAATAAGAGAATTGGATTAGAAAACCTTCTCCTGGACTAATATTTTACCCTAAAAGTATATTTCAAAGCTAAAGCTAATTTTATGAAATTTTTACATTTGTCTTCAAAGATCAGTCACACCATTATAGCCATGTACACATGCTGAGTCCTCCGTGGGGAGAAAAAACAAAAACCTCCCAAATTATGAACTCCACCTTCAAACATTCCAACAAATATGTTTTTAAAATAAGTCAAATACAGAATTCAGACCATGCAACAATGTCTTTTATTACGTATGGGTTTTTAAAATTATTTCTGCAATCTCTCCATACACAGGCAAAAAAAAGTATTGTTTTGCATATTGGAACTTGCAGACCTGATCACTGCATAGAGAAGGGAAAATGATCCCTACAATACACTTAACCAGGAGGCCAATTCATCTGTCGACCTCCAAGAACATGGAGATGAACATGATAGACAGACTGTCCCCCATCTGAACCTTCATTCACCACCATTCGATAACCCTTCTTCAGGCCCAGATCAGCAGCACATTTCTTGCCAACAATCATTAAATGTCCAAGAAGCTGAAAAAAAAAAAAAAAAAGTTTCTTAAGCAATGGTAATTTAGAACTTCTTGTCATCATGTAACAAACTACCAAGTTGAAATATTAAATTAAAAGACTGCCAAACTGAAACAGACTTTGGGCAAATATTTGGAAACACTTTTAATCCTAAAATAATATAATCTACAATTAAAAACCCAGTAAGATTAGGTATTTATTAATTACTAATTTCAATAAACATATTAAAGACAAAAATCTGCTCAACTAAAACAATTTTTAAGGCTTCCCTGTGGTGCAGTTGTTGAGAGTCTGCCTGCCGATGCGGGGGACACGGGTTCGTGCCCCGGTCCAGGAAGATCCCACATGCCGCAGAGTGGCTGGGCCCGTGAGCCATGGCCGTCTGGAGCCTGTGCTCCGCAACGGGAGAGTCCACAACAGTGAGAGGCCCGCGTACCGCAAAAAAAAAAAAAATTTTTTAAATCATATTCCAAGTGGTATTTAAGTTTTCTTAATAAGGCACGATACCTTGCTTGCTTGTTACGGGGGAGTGTATCAGTCAGGATAGAATTGGTTATGCTGTGGTAACAAACCACCTCCAAATCTGGTTTACAACAAACATACATTTCTTGTGTTTACTACATCTTCATCACAAGTTGACCAGGCGCTATATTCTACATCTTTTTCACTTTGAAACCCATGCTGATGGAACAGTCTCTGTATGATCACAGTGGCAGAGGCAAGAGAGAACATGGCAAACCGGGTGCTAGCTCTTAAAGTTTCTATTCAAAAGACATGTATCACTTCTGCTTGTACTCATTGGCCAAGTTAAGTCATATGACCAGGCCCAACATCAGTGAGGTCAGAAATATAATGTACCCCTAAATAAAATAGTATTTATGAACAATTATATAATCTACTGCAAAGAGCACCAGGAAAAATTTTAATTGAGGCCAGTACCTCCTAGCAAAATCAAATAATTATTTTTCTTTAACGGCATTAACAGAAGAGCCAATGAACCCTCTCCTGTACAATAACACTATTTCTTACTTAAGGAAAAATTAGTCTCACCAACTAATCCTTGCTTAGAACGCTTTTTTGTTTAAAAATTTGTGGTGATAACTTCTTTTGGGCATCATTCTGGGATTGTTGGTGGGAGTGTAGTTTTGACCACAGAAGGCTAGGAAATGGGTAAGAAAATACACTAATCAGTCAACACTAAAGATACTCCATTTCAAAGGCTGAAAATTAATTTCCTATTTTCCATGCCAAACTATGTCCAATTACATTGCTCAACATAGTATATCAGAGGTTCTGCATAAGACTGAATGAAAATAGTAAGGTTCTCTAATAATAAAAACTCTAAAAATATGGAGCTACATCTAATGTGAATATACATCTTTTCTCTTTATCAAATTCTCAGGGAGAAATGAAAGTCTAAAGATGAAATTTGTTTTGTAAACTTAAGCCCAGAGATCATTCGAATAAAGGAATTAAAATCCAAAAGAAAAAAAAAGAATTTGTGGTGATAGATGTAAACAAGACTTACTGTGATCATTTTCTTTTTGAAAATAAAAAAATTATTTATTTATTTGGCTACGCCAGGTCTTGGTTGCAGCACTCGGGATCTTCGTTGAGGCATGTGGGATCTACTTCCCTGACTGGGGATTGAACCCAGGCCCCCTGCATTGGGAGTGCAGAGTCTTACCCACTGGACCACCAGGGAAGTCCCACTGTGATCATTTTGTAGTACATACATATATCAAATCATTTTGTTATATACTTAAATCTAATATGTTATATGCCAATTATATCTCATTAAAAAATCAAATTACTTATACATTGCATTGAATCACTGATGATTTTCTGATTTTCCTCAGTAATGCCCTCAGGAAAATGAAAATGTGATATCACTTTAAAGTCAAAATTTAGTCTCCCAATTTAAAAAGCAAGAAAATTAATGATGTTAGTAAATGTACTTACACTTTCATCGTCATCTTCTGCTGCAGAAATCTGGGATATATGTTTCTTGGGTATCACCAGAAAATGTGTTGGTGCTTGAGGGGAAACATCATGGAAAGCAAGACACTGGAATAAGGGGGGGGAGGGGAAATCAAGGTTTTCATATATAATCTTACAGCCTAAACTTATCATTCTTTCACACTAACCCCATGGGAAACACTGTAATAAATGCTAGGAAATCAGAATTGGACACAACACATGTGGTCCTCTGATCCTTTTCATGGAACTTACAGTTTAATGGTATCCTTTTGAATTATAGTTTTGTCCGGGTATATGCCCAGGAGTGAGATTGCTGGATCATATGGTAACTCTATTTTTAGTTTTCTGAGGAACGTCCATACTGTTCTCCATAGTGGCTGCACCAATTTACATTCCCACCAACAGTGTTGGAGGTTCCCTTTTCTCCACACCCTCTCCAGCATTTATTTGTAGACTTTTTGATGATGGCCATTCTGACTGTTGTGAGGTGGTACCTCATTGTAGTTTCGATTTGCATTTCTCTAATAATTAGTGGTGTTGAGCATCTTTTCATGTGCCTGTGGCCATCTGTATGTCTTCTTTGGAGAAATGTCTCTTCTGCCCATTTTTCCATTGGGTTGTTTGTTTTTTTGTTGTTGAGTTGTATGAGCTGTTTGTATATTTTGGAAATTAAGCCCTGTGGGTCATATTATTTGCAAATATTTTCTCCCATTCCGTAGGTTGTCTTTTCGGTTTTCTTTTTTTATGGTTTCCTTTGCTGTGCAAAAGCCTGAAGCCTGTAAGTTTGATTAGGTCCCATTTGTTTATTTTTGCTTTTATTTCTATTGCCTTGGGAGACTGACCTAAGAAAACATTGGTACAATTTATGTCAGAGAATGTTTTGCCTGTGTTCTCTTCCAGGAGTTTTATGGTGTCATGTCTTATGTTTAAGTCTTTAAACATAAGCCATTTAAGCCATTTTGAGTTTATTTTTGTGCATGGTGTGAGGGTGTGTTCTAACTTAATTGATTTATATGCAGCTATCCAACTTTCCCAGCGCCACTTAAAGGAAATCTTTTGATTCATGTCCCCACCTTCCCTAGGTCAGGAGTCCTGGTTGTGCAATTTGGTTTTTTTCCTTTATGGCGGTGATCACTTTTGTAATGAGAAATTTGCTGATATTTGACCAACACCGATTTCTTCCAACTTTACTGAATTACTTAATAAATATATCTATTCTCTTTTGTAGAAATGAAGAGCATAAGTAACATTTAGACAAATTACATACCACTTGAATGGTTTTGAATCTCTTGTTCTCTACTGAAGGTGGAAGCTGTTTAATAGAACCTATCCCAGCTTAACTGTCTCAGGAGTTATTCTACTTGGTACTCTGTACAAAAATGCTGTATCATTTAGATTGCTTCATGCTGTTACACCTTGGAACTTTGATGGCTCAAAAGTCAGTATTTCAACGATCATTTATTAAAAGAAACTTAAAATATTTTTAAAGAAATACACATTACCTACAACAAAAGAACTCCCCTAACGGACAAATAAAGATATTTATATAAATTCACCTCGAGGTAGGTGTTCTGAATCTAAGAACGCTACTAGTAGCATAAAATCTTTCCTTATATTCCATATTTCATAAAGCTAATTTATTAAAGTTCACAAACCTTGTATCTAAATCAGCCAACCTGTCCAGCTTTATGTGAGATCCATAAATATAACCGCCCACTAAATATTTTATACAAGATGTCTCGAAGTCAAATGAACTCGGCCTTTCTAAAACAGTTTCACCTAGAGTGAAGTCAACAAAAACGACATTCTTAATCCCTTGGCATAAAATTGCTTCCTGAAAATATAAAAGGAACCATTCTTCCCGGGAGGGGCCAAAGGAAAGCAAATCCCAGATGCAGGCCCACTCTCATCTCAGGAGTCCTAGGCCCGAGAATGGGCGGCGGGGGTGGGTCCGGGTGGCGTTGGCTAGCGGCCCTCGCCCAGGCCCAGCGCGTCTGTGCCGCCCCCAGGCCGTTCGCCCCCGGCCCTCTAGCGCAAGGCGGCGGGGAGAGGCGCCCGGGAGCTCCCGGGCAGGCCGGCTGTGCGCGGGAGATCGCGGAGATTGGGCCCGAGTCAGGGTGCGATCGGGTTTCTGCCTGTCAGGCAGAGCGCGGGCGAGATTGTCAGATTCCTGATACAGGAGAGGTCCGAGGCAGTCGGGGAGCAGGCGAGCGCTCATGCCGAGGACCCGGCGCGCCCACAACAAGCACCCAGACCCCGCAGCGCGGGCCCGCGGGCGCCCGGCGGCCTGGCCAGCGCTTCGGGCTGATAACGCGTAACCGGAGCGCAGGCACGCGCCGGCCGGCCGCCTCGGAGCGGCCGCGGCCCAGCCCGCTGGCTGTGGGCCCGAGGCAGAGGCCGCGCGAGGCGGCCCGCTACCTTCCCTTCTCCGCGGCGCACCCCCACCCCGACTTTTCCCTTCCCTTCCCTTCCCACTACGGGAAACCCGCGTGTCCACAGGCGGCTGCCCCGCCTCAGCCCACGAGCGAGGCGGCGCCCGGTGCCTACCTGGTCATCCTCATAAATTATTTTGGCTGGGATTTCCTTGCGAATGATCTTCCCGAAGATCGTGTCGCCACCAGGCCGAGCGGCCTGAGCCTTAGCGATCTCATCTGCCATCTCGGCCTCCCTCCCGCGCGGCTGGCCGGGGAGAAGGTCGGGAGGAGGGAGGAGCCGTGGACGCTGGCAGAGGGCGGGAGCTGGCGGCCAAGCCCGCTAGGGGACCGCTGCTCTCTTGCTCCGGCAGCTCGTGCGCGTGCGCACTGGCGACGTGCGCTGGGCTGCTGCGGGCGCGCGGCAGCTCTAGGGGAATCGCTGGGCGCGACTAAGCTGGAGGGCGGTTCCTGATTGGAGGCCCGGGGGTTCCGCACCAAGGTCGTTTTTCTTCCTTTCTTGTCTCTCGGGGAGCGGTGTTACTGCAGTAAGCCCTTTGCTTAACTTATGGATGCTTGTAGGAAAAATCGTATACTGTAACTGAAAAGATTTGATAACCTAAGCAGAACTGGCCGTTTTTGCTGGCAGAGACACCATGATAACTTCATTTGTCAGCTACATAGGTCTTAGCTCCAGCAAGTAAGCCCTCCTGCATCCGTTTTTTTTCCTCACTCTAGCAGTGGTTCGCAATCTTGACTGCACATTAAAATCACTTGGGGAGCATGTAAAAAGTCCCCGGGAACTTGGCCATACCTCAGGTCAGTTAAATCAGACTCTCTGGGGGTGAGAGACCCAGGCATCAGTAGTTTGTAAACCTCCCTAGACTGTTCTGCAAAGAATTATTCCCAGCATTAGTCAGCATAATGTAAGATGCCCCGCCTTAAAAGAACAACACCTTTCCTAACCCCACATACCCCTCCATGTCTTTGCTCCTTTTTAAAAGAGTTTTCTATATATTGTGTCCACTTTATCTTTCTTTTTTGAAACCATTTGCCTCTTGTCAAGGTCACTAAGGACCTCCACTTACAAAATCCTATAGGCAATTCCAATTATACTTGACCCCTTGGCAACATTTGCCACTGTTGACCATGCCCTCTTTTCAGCAAAAGCCTTCACTCTCCTACCTTTCTGGATGCTATTTCTCCTTCATAGTGAGCCTTCTGTTCCAGGTCTTTCAATGCATTCCATTCTTTGCCCTCTTCTCTAACACTTAATCTCCAAGTGTCCTTATTATGAAAAATTATACCTTTAGCACTTTACCTTGGCAAAATTATTGATAGTGGTCCCCTTTAATCACAAAAGTGTCCCATTTGGTACTTTTGGTATTAAAGACATTCCTGAGACAATTGGTGAAATCTAAATAATGCATACAAATTAGGAAATAGTTTTGAAAGTCTTGTTAATTTCCCCACGTACATATAGCAAAATTATCAAAATCAGTTGATCTGGGGTGGGGCTCTATAATTTAGGTTTCTAACAGTTTCCAGGTGATGCAGTTGCTGCTAACCTGGGAACTACACTTTGAGAACCACTGATGTAAGAGAATGTCTTTTTTGTAGGAGAAAAACCTACTGAAGTGTTTAGGAGTATAGCAGTATTGTGTCTGCAACTCACTTTCAAACAGTAAAGAGATCCCCCCCCAAAAAAAGGATAAAGCAACTGTAGTAAAATGTTTACAGTAGGGGAAACTGAGTGAAAGGTATTTGCAAATTCAATCATTCTTGCAACTTTTCTGTAAGACTGAAATTGTCAAAATTAAAAAATGAATATATACTGGGTTGGGTAGTAAATAATATGGTCATCTTTCACTAAGAGGCTTTGCTTTCTACAGAGTAATGACTCCAGTATTTATCTCCCGACTTCTTAATTCCAGATTGGTGTATGATACATATTTCTGCCTACTCACCACCTTCAGTAGGATGTCTACCAGGCACTTCAAATTTATTTTTACTCCCTCACAACAAACAATCTAAAAACCTCTTCCTGCAGCATTTTACATCTACTATGATACCATTCACCAAATTGCGCAAGCCAAAAGTCTTGCAATCATCAACTCTTCTTTGTGGATTTTCAACACATATGAATCTAATCACTTCTCACCTCCTCTACTCCACCAGCCTAATCCAAGCCTCTATCATATCTTGCCTGGAGTACTTCAAAAGCCTCCTAGTTTGCCTATCTGCTTCTACTCTAGTCCATTTGCTATACAGTAGTCAAGATGATTTTTATAAAATATAAATCATGATGTCACTCTCCTGATGGTAAGGCATTTCATCATAGAATTAAATATAAAATCCTAAACTTGGCTTATAAGCTATTAAGCAATCGGGCCCATGGCTGCTTCTCCTACATTTCCTTCCATTTCATCCTTATTGACCAGCTTCACCCAAAGTGGGTATGAGAGGCAGAAGATTTCCATGTCCTAATCCCTGGAGCCTGTGAATATGTTACTTTACGTGGTAAAGGGGATGTGCAGATATGATTAAGTTAAGGGTCTTCAGGTGGGGAGATTCCTCAATTATCCAGGTGGGCCCAGTGTAATCACATGGACCCCTTTAAATGAAAGAGGGATACGGGACAGTGAGACTCAGACAAGGAGATATGATGATGGAAGCAGGGGTGAGAATCAAAGATTGAAGATGCTCCACTGTTGACTTAGAAGATGGAAGGGGCCACAAGCAGATGACATTCTGGAAGTCAGAAGTCCAAATTGGGTTTCACTGGGCTAAAATCATGGTGTCAGCAGGGCTGTATTCCTTCTAAAGGCTCTGGGGGCGACCGGTTCCCTTGCCTTTTCTGTCTTCTAGAGGCCACCTGTGTCCCTGGGCTTCTGGCCCTTCCTCCATCTTCAAAGACCACAGAAGAGCATCTGCAAACCTCTCTCTGACTCTGCTTCCTTCTTCCACTTATAAAGATCCTTGTGTTGGGACTTCCCAGTGGTAAAGAATCTGCCTTCCAATGCAGGGGATGCGGGTTCTATCCCTGATTGGGGAACTAGGATCCCACATGCCACGGGGCAGCCAGGCCAGCGTGCCACAACTACTGAGCTCAAGCGCCTCAACTAGAGAACCCACATGCCGCAAACTACAGAGCCCACTTGTTCTGGATTCTGCGCGCCACAACTGCAGAGCCCACCTGCCCTGGAGCCTGCGTGCCACAGCTAGAGAAGAGGAAAACCGCACGCCACAACTAGAGAGAAGCCCATGTGCTGTAACGAAAGATCCCACATGCCTCAGTGAAGACCCCGGGTGCCACAACTAAGACCCGACACAGCCAAAAATAAATATAAATAAATAAATAACTAATAAGTAAATCTTAAAAAAAAAAGATCCTGTGTTTACATTGGGCCCATCAGACAACCCAGGATAACCTTCCCATCTTAAAATCCTTAATTTAATCACATCTGCAAAGCCCCTTTTGTCATAAATGGTAATAATATATTCAAAAGTTCCTAGGATTTAAATAGGGACATGTTTTGGAAGCCATTAGTCTGCCTACCACATAGTCCATGACCTTACATGATGAACATGTAGGAATTTCCTGTTCAGTTCTGGGTCCCACACTTTGAGATGCCAACAAACCAAGACGTATTCCCAGAACAACCAGAATAGTCGCTTCTTTTATGGAACAGCTCAAGGAACCATACAGATTTACCTAAGAGAAGAGAAGTTTCAGGACTGAATTGATTTTTGGGCACTATGGAAACTATACTTTCAAATATTGGCAGATAAGTGGCTTTAGTTAACTGAATACAGGACCCTAGTTAGCCAGAAATTATAAAAATAAATTATGAATGTTTAGGAGATTGGGCTGTGATTCTAAACTGAAAATGAAAATTGGCATCTTTGAATCATTCATTAGCAATCAGAAGGCACTACTATACAATGTCACAAAATCATCGAATTTATTGTTTCCTGGATAAAAGACAGTATCCAGAATATTTGGTTTAATTGCTTATGTTAAACACTCTTTTGCAAATCCAATTCATTTTAATTTTTAAAAAGTCAACTATTGCTATTCTCATGATGACTTGCAATATTCTTTAAAATGACATAAATCAGAGAAGGAAAAGGGTCTTGGATATCCATTGGTCTAAATCTTTCATTCCTAATAAAAAGTCAATTTTACCTAAAAGTTAACCTGGGGGGATGGGTAGGGAAGACAAACGATTATGCAATGGGAGCAAGGTTGAGATATTTTTCTTGATGCTTGCAAGGTCATAAGTTAAATGTACTTAAATGCTTTATGATTGTTTATGATCATGATGCTGCTAATAAACTATCTGTTTCCAACCTCTTGACCAGCAAAACCAAGGAGTAGGGCGAGTTGAGTAGGCAGGATGAGTAGAGGGTAAGACTGAGCTTTCAGGTTAATCATAGGCATTTGTATCCCAGACCTCCATTTGCTGATCGTGTGGACTTGAGCAAGTAACTCAACCTCTCCTTCTAGAGGAATGAAGTGGGATAACGTACCAATAGCGCTTTTGGGAGTCAGCGTTCCAGTCAACGCCTACTGTAGTTGTTAGGGCTTGGCTCTTATTTATGCACTTTTGCAAGGACACATTTGCAACCCAGAAACGTTAAAATAATGATTCCTTAATAGATAACCCCAACCGCCAAACAGGAGGTTAAGTACATAAAGGTGCCGAAGCCATCAACTAAGTGTCAATGCACACTCCGCCACCGGCGGTTGCCTCAGAAATGGCCGGAAGTGCCGCTGCCCCTAACTAACATGGCGTCCAGGTGATTTCCGTTCCCCTCTCGGCTGTAATTGAGCTCGGCGGCTCCTCGCGGTTTTCCTAGAGGGTACCGGCTTAGCAAACACCTCACGCCTGTCCCTCCACGGGGGGCGGGGCTACGAAGGAGATGCTGCGTGGTGATTGGTTGCGGCTCGTTAAGAACGTGCCTACGGGGTGTTGGACCGTCCACACCAGGCGGTGACTGGTTGCAGAGAGGCGGGGCGACTCGACCGCTGGAGAAGTAGCCGCAGCTGTGAGGAGAGCCATGAGTCAGGCGGCCAAGGTGACTGGGTCCGGGGAGGGGTTGGGTGCGATGCCGGCGGGGTGGGTAAGAGCGCGGCCTTGCGAACGTAGTCTGAAATCTCTGTAGCTGGGGTTCAGGACCCTCCACGGAGTATGTGGCCTTTACAGCTGAGGAGCTGGTGACCGACCCTGCAGGGCAGTCGAAGGTTTGTGCAGGTGCGGAGGAGAGAGGGCGACACAGGTGGTCCTACTTCGTCTGCCGGGTACGGAATGTTTGTCCGTGATGCATGCCGGCGACTTGAGTTCTGCCCCCTTGCCATCTCCACACCGAGCGTTTGTGTGAGGGGCCCATTTC